TGGTTCTGATGAATTTATCATTCTGTCTGCATGAGGCAATATTTCTAAGTGTTCCAAGGCAACGCATGGTGATTGCTGTTCCCTGTTTTTTAATGCCTTCGTTAAAAGTCTGCTCATAATATATGGAGAAGCTATCGCTACGTACGCAAATGAGTTTGTCAGTTCAACTTTCTTGGCGCTGGATGTTTTCACTGGTAACAAAACTCAACAAATGAGTTTCTCCTTCCCCTCCCACCCACCAACCCCCCCAGCCCTTGCTCCCCCAGTTTCCTCGCTGTTAACCAATAGATCTTTATTAAACAAAGGAATATTTTAGCATTCCAAACCTGGTCCCTGCTTATGCAAACTGTTCCTTGCGTTGGCTTCAGCCGGACTGTTTGTGAGGACAAGGACTGCTCATCCGAGTGGGGATGTGCAAAGTCGGGCGCTTCGGAGAGGTGATACTTTAACTTCCATGAAAGCATTTCTGTGTAGAGACTGATTTGTAATTGCAAAGCTGTGACCAGAACAAGTTCTGTTTTGTTTGGTTGTTGTTTTTTTTTTTTTTAAATCATATTTTATGGTGTTTCTTTATTGTAGAATAGAAGCCATAAATGCATTTAATATTGTTTTTCTACTTTGATGTAATTTTTCATTAAGATTTTCAGTGTTTAATATGCGTGAACCGCTGCAGAAAGTGGTCAGTCTGTAACAGCAAAATTTGCATTCAAGGTAAAGTGAGGTTTTACAGCTCCACTAAGCCATTACTGCTGAAACTGTCGTGGAAATTATGAAGCTGCATGAATGAAGACTTTTTGACTCGGTGTTTATGGTAGTTTCTCAGGTTTAGTTTTAACTGGATGTTAAATGCACTGTGTTTTATAAATAGTTCTTCTCTTTCAGTAACACATTCAGTTCTATGCAGTGTTACATGTCATTTGGCATTTGGTGAATGTGCATGTTTTGAACTGCAAATTTTAAATGTTTTGTCTTTTAATTGTTAAAAAATGAATAAACTTTGCCATTAAATGAAGAAGCTTGGCTGAATTGATTGGTTGCAAACGCTAGGGGTTGCTTTCAAAGGAAAACATATCTCATCACTCCCGGTTTTGAATTCTTTCAAGTGGGACATATCAGAAATAGCATTTCACAAATACCAAAGCATTCTTGATATTAAGGTAAACTGAAAAAGCAGAAAATGGTTTTAAGGTTTTTTTCAGATGTCTTTTTCAGTTCTCATGTGAAGTCCAGAAAAAGTTATTTAAAAAAAAATGGGGAGAGAGGGGCACGGGAGTCTGCAATTGAGCGATTAGCAGCAACACACTCTGGTGCTGATACCGTATTTTTTGAAAGAGAAATACGCACTACAAGAACGGTGAAGTGGGAATAAGGAAACATCACTGCCTTTTTCAGACAACAGTGATAAATACCGTATCCTTTGGCTGTGATACGAGCGGGCATTTCTTCCCCTTAGCAGTGCCCACCCACTGAATAAAAATCAGTCTATCCAAACCTAAGAGTTTTGTTTGTAGACAGGTGGCAGATTCTTTATGTACACACTAGACAATGAATTTATTTTGTAGGCTTTGTATCCTGTCAAGGCAGGTTTGATAATAGATGCATCTTTCACGCTGTTAGCTGCGTGATAGCCAGTCTCCGGTGACAGGGCTGGTTTAAGGAGATTCCACCTCACAGTCTGTCACTGGCTCTATTCCGCTGGCAGTCACGAGGCCATTGGAAAAACTCGGATTATAATCCAGTTTATAATGATCCTGTCTCCCTTTCAAATCCTTTCCCTCCTTTCTAATGGCAAATGTTGCTTTTAAGCTAAATTATCTCACTCACCTGGTTCACACCACAGCCCCCTGAATTTGTGGAAGCCGTAGGTGGAGAGAATAAAAAGAACACAAAGGCATTTCTTCTGCTTTTGCTAACGAAGGTGGCATATCATGGAATTACAGCCTCCGGGTAATTGTGAAGGAAAAATTGTTTACGTGAGTGTTGTGGAGCATCAGCCCCCCCAAAAGCAACAGCTCTCCTCAGAGGATCAAGTCCACAGAGCACATCACAAAACACAGAAAAACAGCACCGAAAATTGACTCAGTCTCCTTAACATTACTGCCAAGCTGTAACTCAACAGCAGTGACAAACTAATTTCGAAATTATCACTTCTTTTTTCTTTTTTTTTTTTATATCCCAGTGGGATTAGTATAAGAACTAACCCATGCGTTCACGTAGCCACGCACCCTACCGCTCACCGAGTTCCAAATAAAATCCCTCAGACATTCCTGTAGGTACACGTCATGTTTTTCTTAGCACTGAAGAGTTCCTGTGCGCTTTGGAGATGCAGGCTTCAGAAACCCAAAACGCAGACACACAAAACAAATGGCTGATCTAATTCATGTCACTATTACTCTTTGCCCGTGGAAGGGCTGGTTCTCAGACACACCTTTACCCGTTAATGGCAATCAAAGCACTTTGTGTGTGAGGTGTGTGAATGACAATAATCAATTTGCTGGGATTTTTGGTTCATTTTGATTTATTTTACATCGGTCTCACTCTGTTAAAGCCAGCACAAACTAACTCTAGTATTTCAAAATAAATAGTGAAGCCTACCGTGTTAAGAAAGAAGCCTGGCAGTCAATCAAGCACCGTGTACACCTTACCTCTGATAGCAAGCCATTTCTTTTGGTGCAGGTGCACATCTAGCCCTTCAAACCCTTCCATTAGTCATTAAAATGGGGTATTGGAATCCCACTTGTGTTCTGCCTGCAAGTTTTGGGAAAACGTCTATTTTCTATAAAACACAGAAGCACCCAGTGTCGCCCGGTCCTTTTCCATCAGCAGGGAATTCAGGGTTCTCACCTGCCTTGGAAATACCTGGCACAGGCAATGAGCATGTCAGTCGGTGGGCTTTTGTTCTGGCCACCTCCCGCCCCTTCCCTTCAGCTGAACAGGTCACTGCCAGGGTGGCTACGTGAACTATAATTTATAGATTCTTCTTAACTTAGAGATACTCGCCTGTCTGTTGGCAGATGGTGCAGAACCCCCACCTCACCTGCTTCACAGGTCACCCACCACAGCTGGTTTAACTCCCCGTGATCTTTCCCAGCCTTAGACACACCACACACACACACACACACACATCTGCAGGGTTTGTCACACTCTGTGGCCACCCACCTGCACGGCGCTTCACACTCCATGAGCTCACTGACTTCTCCAGGTCTGATTCAGTGGGATTATTCCTGCGTGTCCAGTTCTTCCTGCATTTTATGAGGTCAAACCCGTTACACAGCATCAGGAGGAAAGGCAGTAGCTGGGAGAGGTCCTCCCCTCCAGGCTGAGTTTCACACCACAGGGCAAACTGCACAGCCTTTACTTTGGGCTGAATAATCGCCAAAATCTGTAAACCTACACCCAAGTGTCACAAAACCTCATCCCTGTGCTAAAACATTAATAAATCTGCCTGTCGAGCCTGCTGAGACCATGGTGGTGGGGCAGCCTGGCCCCACTAGGCTACACCCTCAAATGTTAATGGGCCCACTGTTAATGTTAACTGAGCCCACCTGTGGCTTCCTGGGGTACGGCCCATCTCTGAGAAAAACACTGAATTTCAGCTACTCACCACCTGTGTCAGTGGCTCTCTGATGACTCCTGAAAGGAATATAAAATTGCACCTTCTTAATTGATCAAGTTTCTGCTTCCAGAAGGATCTGTATTGCCTCGGTTTACTAGATAAAAGATTTCTACTAATTAAGGACTTCTACTTGTAAAAAATACAGTTTAACTGTTTTACTATCTGTTACTGCTGTATACAGAAATGATCAGCAGATCTCGATGTTTCCAAACTGGTATCTGTTGTAATATTAAATGATTTTTCCAAAAATTTACTTCATGAACAGTCCGTTATTTCTTATCCATTCCAAACGTGCAGTGAAAGAGTCCCATGAAACCACTATCAAAGGTGGGCAAAAAGTTACCCGCCCCCTTCCTTGAAGATTGTTTCTTAAAAATTGCAGGTCAAAACACTTACCTTTCAAGTAATTTCCCAAGTACTCAAAATCTACTTTTTAGATTTTGATCAAACATGCACTACTGCGTCTCGTTAGTTTGTAATTAACAAGTACAACATTCAAGCTAAAACCTGTTGCTTAAAACATCATTGTATACAACTCAAGTGGTCCTTCTACTTAGAAACCACATTTCCAATAGTAATATGTATCAGATTGTAATTTAACTATGCAATATAAAATATATTAAAAAGTTTATCTCAAAACCTTTTTTTCATAAATGCTTAGATACTGATTGATGGATACTGGCTTTGAAAAAAATTGGATTTGGCTCGAGGAAGAATCAATGAGGCTTTTCGAAAAGCCAGAGCAGTTCTACTGCCATTCAGAAGTGCTGTAATTTTAACACGCGCTGTTCACAGACTTGTGAAACAGGTCAGCTATAATGTACTTCTTTAACAGATCCTGTAGATGGGGAGTTTGGGGCTGATAAAATATGACAGTTCAGCCTCTGATATTGCAGATTCTGACACGCAGAATGACTTCGTTTGCTCACAAAAATAAGTATACGGAGAAGCCCTTTGATGACTGCATTTTTTCGTGTGTATTTTCCATTTGCTTGCTGCATGTGTTTGGTTTAGATGCATTTTTTTCTTCTTCTTCCATTTGGTTTGTTGGTTTACTTGGGTGAAGGAATGTAGGAGGGCAAACAGAATTTATTCCTAGGGCAGGATGTTTTAAATTAAAATACCCAACTAATCAGTGTAGGTTTCACCACATTTTTACCACAGTTGCATATAAAAGACTTTAATTGATCTATTAGTTTGCTATATATTCAGAATTCTATATTATATTAAATCTGCACAACAGGTGCACAGTAAAAGATGTAAATCATTTACAAAAGCAAAATTAACTATTTTTAACAGGAAAAAACACAGCATAGTTACACCATCAAAATTAAAACTTGCTCATCCAACACTATCTGTACAGAGACATACAGATGACACAACATTTCAAACACACAGTTTATTGATATTTTTGTGTGTGTGTGACTACTAAATAATTAGTCTTGTCAATGCTGTAAATACATTTTAAATTACAAGCTTGTCTTTACATTTTATACATGGCTAATTTTACAAATAGAACTTTACCATCGGTTTGTCCAACTTAGACGTTGCTGAGCAAAAAGCCAACAATAAATACTTCCTTCTGAAATATGCTTTAATATAAGGCCAGTTTTAGAATTTTATGCGGAGAAATCATTAGTGATATTGCTGAATACATTCTGCTTTTCTCATAGATAATGATTTGGCTGCTTGGGATTGGCATGTTTTCAACTAGCATAATTTGTACTTAGTTTTATCTATCGTAGTTAAAGTTTACTAATAGAAATATGCAGCGTAAGTTCAGGTATATTATGTGTACTTTAAAAACCCCACATAATTTGATATCTATGGTAAAATGCTTCCTCTTATTTCCATTGCTCAGGGAAGTGGGAAGCAGCCAGCTGTTGCTGGGATCCACAAACTCTTCTCTTTAGTTTAGTTCCTCTTTTACTTCTCAGGCTTATTGCTGCTTTATAGAACTAGGCTGATTATTATCAGTGGGACGCAGCCACCATTTGTTAACTAAGTTAATAGCACTTAGGGTTAAAATGACACTTGTAACGCCGCGAAATGAGTAATTTTATCCCAAAACAGTTTTTCTACTCGTCTCCGAACACGTTCTGCGCAAATTAGACCGAACACGTTCTGCTCGAATTAGACCGAACCACAAGAGCAGTCACTTTTTTAGAGCAACTAAGTTTGGAACGTTTAACAATTCATTCCTAAGTGTGATCCAAGTTTGGGGAACGAGATCCCCAAACGAGACCTTGCGCTTTTTCAAGGGCAACTCACCCCCGGGAACGGTTCTGACTTCTGCAGCCCCACAGCGTGTCGGGGGGGACACCCAGCAGCAGCCTCCCAAAGCGCCGTTCCTTCCTTTCAGCTCTGACTAAAATCAGAGCAGCTTTTCCCAGCCAGGGCGGGCTCTGGCTGGAGGGGATACCCAAAGTACGGCGGCGACACCAGAAATCCCGAGGGCTGGGTGAGGTGGACGGGGTGGGCTGCCTGGAAGCAGCCAGAGGTGTATGGAGGAGGTGGGGATGCCACCAGGCAGCCTGGCTCTGCCCGGGGAAAGGAGAACCTGCGAACGGAGCCGCCGGTGGAGCTGGAGCTGGTGGCCGTACTGGACTGCCTCGACGGCGTCCTGAAGCTCGTGGAGGCCAGGATCATGGGGAGAGTCTCGGTCTGGTAGCTCCGCAGAGAAAACCGTATCGGCTGCGAGGGTTGTTTGGGTCTTAGGCACGTGCAGCAATAAACGGCCACCAGAGAGCCCACGATAATGAAGGCGATAAATATTGATCCGACAATGAGGAACGGGACGTAGATCGGTTCTGGGAGAGGAAAGAGTGAGAAAAGCCACGCACACATTAGCCTCCTGGAGTGACAGCTCTGCTGCACAGAAATCAACTCCACGGAGTTCACGAAGCCCCACAGCATTTCAGCCCCACAGACACACTCAGCTGCTCAGAAGACAGAGCTTCCGACCATCATCCTCAGAACAAAATTAAAGTTTAAACCCTGCACATACCAGCCAAAATTTCCTCCTGTTGACAGCTTTAATAGTTACCAAGGGTAAAAGCTGTCTACACCGCGTCCCCTTTGCTGGTTCCAGTCAGGTTTTGCTCAGGAATTGCCCTCCTCTCCCCCTCCCTCACCCCCGAAAGCTGTCGGGGCTGTCCCATGGAACAGCGTGGATCTGCCGGCGGAGCTCAGACGCCGCAGCCGCCGTTAATTCGCTTTCACTCCTCAAAATAAGGAAAATAAGGGCAGAACGTGTGACTTAGGACACCGGTCTCCCCCTGCGCTGCCGGGTTCCTTTTGTCTGGAAACCCGACGGCCCCTCGCCCCGGAGCCCGGGCTCACCCCCGGGAAAGAAAGAACAGGCTGAACAGCCACAGCTGAGTTTCCTGACTTAAAACACAACCTGTGCCTTCCAGGTAGGACGGTCCCAACCGGTGGGACCCCTCTGGACCGGCGGAGTTAAAGCCCCCGGGCGCATCCTCCCCACGCTGCGCACCTGGAGCAGCGCCCGCCTCCTGCCCCCCCCCTCCGGGACCGGCCGCCCCGGGGAGCCCCGCAAACCCTGGGAGCCCCGAGGGGATGCTCGGCGGGGAGGTGGGGGGGGGGTCCGGCTACCCGCCCGCCCCGGGACCCGCTGGGGTTTCTGTAGGGGGGGGGCTGCCGGGCACTCACGGGCGGTGACTCCCGGGTCCGGGGGCTCCCGGTCGTTGGTGCAGCCGCCCTGCTCCAGGCGGGCCTCGGCGGCGGCGCAGCAGTAGCGCAGGGCGCAGGAGCCGCAGCAGATGGTGGCGGCCGCCGTGTCGAAGCCCTCGGGGCACTGGAAGCCTTCGTGGTAACCTCCCTGCCCGTCCACCCAGCCGTGGCAATACTCGCCGCCGCCGGGCTGACCACCACCGCCTCCTCCCAGTAGCCCCAGCAGGAGCCAGCGCAGCAGCAGCGCTCGCCGCCGCCGCCCCGCCATCGCCCCCG